TGCAAATAAACAAAATTTTTGTTTAATAATATGTAGTTTATAAAACCACTGTTAGTTACGTTTAACCTGTCACTTATCTTTAAGCCCCAGTCTTGTGAAGAAGGAATGATTAAACTAATTTTTGAGGTACTAGGCTTTTTTAGAAAGAAAAATCTCAGTGCAAGTACAAGAACATTTACCATATTTGCCTCAGTTTTCAGTATTCCACTTTCTCCATAGGAATGTCAAGAAGTGCCTTCATCTTAGCTGAATGCCCAGATTTTATTTCACGGGCAAAATCAGAAGCTACTTCTGCTGCTGCAAATAACAAAGGCATCACTTGCCAAATTTTGTTTAAAAATTGAAAGTTCAAATTCCAAGAAAATGTTGTTAAATCCTGTAAATATTTGTAGCTTTTTGTATTTGTAAAAATGTCATCCCTTTTCTCAAGTGAAGTAACTCAGTTATTGAACTCCAGTTGCTCAACTTCAACGTCAGCTGAAGTTCATCTATAGACACATACATTTATATGTGTGTGTGAAATTAGTATTTTTGCATATATTACATCTGCTACACTAAGTCATGGATACATGTGCTAATTCTATGTTGGCTTACTGGAATTACTATGTAGAATAATTTGTCATATAAGTTTAAGCAGGTACCACCACCTCCATCTGAATATGAGCGAAGGGCAATGCCCACATTACTGGGGTTCTTCCTCTATTGACCATTGTCATGCTAATCTGATTTTAATTTGGTGCCATTTTCTTCCCAATGTAAAAGAAGAGTTGTAAAACAAAATAACTAGCCTCTGCAGCAGATGTAACTTTCTGATTATTGGTGGTTTCATTTTTTTACATAAAACTTTCTCCAGTATGAAGTATTACACTGATTTGCAATCAAATTCTACCATATCTTGCTGAATATTTCACTTTATACATCATTTTCTCCAATACAAGAGAGAAAACTAGTGTGATTTTTAAATTCAAGAAATTCATCCTTCCAACAATGAATATTCACTTTTTAAATAATGTCATCTATTTTTAAATGAAAGCCATCATTGATATCCCCTTTCAATGTAGATATGAAATAGGTTTTAGTTGAATGTATGGATTGTACAGGATGTCTGTGGTACTGTGACAGATAATAAAAAAATAAATCCCTTCTGCAAAACATGCAAATATATGCAACTCTACAGAGAATCTACAGAACATATAATCAGTGTATAAAGATTATGTTGTAACTCGCATCATCAATAAAAATCTTGGCTGAATAATTTAAAGTGAAGGTATTCCAAATATATATGGTACCTACTGTGCCAATGAACAGGAAAGGGAAAGAAAAGTTTGAGCAGCTCTCCATAGTCAGCTACAGAGCAAACTCAGCACATCTGTTTTCCAAGGAGATCATGCGTACCTGTACAGTATGCTTGGGACTATATTCTTTACAGTCTGTGGCTTTCTTACAACTGTAAGGAAGGCAGATACAAAGGCAGAGGATTTTCAGCTGTTGTGCCACAGATTCGGTCCCTTGATTCTGATTTCCAGCTGTATTTTCTCGGGCTGGACTTGAGTGAAATTTTTGCACTTTATTTTCCTGCAAATAACTTGAATTTGAATACATTCTTATCAGTAAGTGGCTGTTGACATTGCTGATTTTTTTTTCATTTTGAAAATAAATAAGAAAAAATAAAAAGGCCAATTTTTACATTTTTAGACTACATCTTTTCTTAAAGCTTCCTCTAGTTTTAATGAGGGGGGAAAAAAGAAAATAAAAACTTTTTAACATGGAATCGTTTTTAAGGCTATATTTAAAAGGAAAATGTATTTTGGAAGTTTGTAATACTCGGACTTTTCTGATGAAATTTTAATATTTTCAGTGAAATAGAAAATGCATGTTTTGCAAGTTGTATGTAGGGCCTACATTAGCAGTGGTTTCTTTGCAATGACTTGAAAGGAGCAGAAACTTGTATACTGGAAGTTAATGCTGTTAAGCCTTTTAAGGGCCTTAGACTTTGTTGTGACAAAAAAAAAAAAAAAAAAAAAAAAAGGGGGTGCTTTGTTTGCTATCCAGTATATATAAGAATCAGTCATAATCTGTCTCTGGTTAACATACCAATAATGTATGTTTCAAAGAATATAAATCTATTAACTTTGAGGTAGTTGAGTCATATCTGTTGTTGATTCTTTGGCTTGATATGAAATCAATGCCTCAGAAAACACAAATTGCATCTAAGATGGGCAAATTGCTGTTATAAAAAACCAAGTTGAATAAAGTGGTCAAGCACTGGTGAATGTATGTACATCCATAATGCACCGGTTTTAGTCATTCTTTTCTAGTGACTAAATGACTAACATCTATGCACTCAGTTATGTCAATTTTTAGATATCTGATATAATCCTAAGATTCTTGATGTACAGCTGATGAATGAAGCTGTACTCTGTATCACCTCTCGATGTCCCCACTATGGCTAATATAATTGTTTGAATTTGGGTGCAGTCTTAGAGAGAACCAGGTTTGAATTTAGGTGCACAACTTGGCCCTCTAAAGCCAGTAGTTTTAAAAATGACCCTCCTGTAGATTGAATAAGCTACATTTTTATTCTAGCAAGAATATGGGCAGCTTCATTATATTAAACTGTTTATTCTCTCTAATTAATGTGGTTAATTTTAGTATTAAAAGCATGGAAATGGTGAAAAACAAGTGGGATCATTTTGGCAATAATTTTGAAGCTCTGTCCATCTGGATAGCTGAACAAGAAAAAGAACTGGAAACTTTGGAAACATCATCATCTCCTTTGGACATACAGATCAGCCAAATCAAGGTGATTAGTTCTTGTTATGTTTAGCATTAAAAGTCCATTTATCTGTCATTTTTTGCTAGAGGCCAAATGGGAGAACAGACATTTTACACGTTTCAGAATTACTGAGATGTAATGATGGCACACTTTGTACATGAATATACCAAGCAGTAAGGTTTTACAGAAACTAAAGGAAAATTCTTACAGCCTGCCTTCTCTGTTAGTGTTTGGTTTACATATATGGAGCCTTTGCGTGTACGGTTAAAAATATTATTTAATTTATATTCTTCTCATTTTTTGAGTCATCTCAACTGGTGTACAAAATAGCTACATAAATATAAGGTCTATAAAGCTTTTATTTTAAAACACATCAGCTAGTGGATATAGAACTTAATTTTAATCTTGCAAGCTGAAGTTATAACTTGATTTATGTATCTTTTATGCTGAAATAATAAAGAAACTATTGCTCTTGGTAGCTTGCAAACCTACATACCTTTTATTGCTATTACCTTTACACTGTCTTAAATTCTGTGTACATTCCTGTAGATACACCATGTTTTAGTTTCTTATTGCTAACTGGGGTGCATATTGCCTCCAAGCACTGCATTTCAAGGGCTGACTTCATATCCTTCCACAAATGAAAATGTAGCTTTTCTGAAACTGCATGTTTCTAAGGGGACAGAGTTTTTCAATATGCATTGCGCACTGCCGTTTACTTTATTCTGTGACCTACTTGCTCTTCAGAAAGTGCACAGGTGTGCAGCTGCTTGAAGTCATGGACCAGGCTGACACTAAGTATTTCCACAGGATCCTGTAAGGCATTTGTTTCATGTGATGGAAGGAGTTTATCAGCAGATTTTCCTGTTCCTAATTTGATCGTAACTTCACATACACCAAATAAATAAGATCTCTTGATTGATCACTGAGGAATAAAACAATGCTTGAATTCTTGCTTCATTGCCACAGCAATTCAAAAACCGTTTCCTTGTGAAATAATATATGTGCATTTATTCCACTGGCATACACTGTCCTGTAGCTGTACTCTTCAGTAGTTGCTAGATAGAGTTCAAATATTTAAGACAGAAAGTAAGTGCATCAAATGATATTAATATTGCATTGCAGTGTGACAACAGCTCTCGTCTGTGTAAATGGAGCCTAGTTAAGCCCTAGTCATCCATTCAAGCTAATTTCCCAGACAGGCCATTCCTCGCTATAGCAAGATGCTATATGCTATATGCAGATAATTTTTACATGCCAACATAAGCCTTCTTAATTTAAACATCACAACAGAAAGAAAATGGTCAGCAGGCTAGTTTTTATAAATGCCTGAGTGAACAGACATAAAGCAAAGAAAATCCTCCAGATAAAGCTTAGGGAACATCATTGTAATTCAGATGAACAAACCAGCTTTATGAACTGTGATATGTGAAATGAATCATCTAACCTCCGATACATGGACATAGCTGGAGGTCTTGAGCAGCATTGCTTTGTGCCTGATTTTGAAGGATTGGTTATGTTCTGTTGTGAGTTTCCTCATGAGTTAGTATGTGCCACAACGCTGATCAGCATACTTAGATCCTAATTCCTAGTACAATATATTAGTAAGGAATCTTGCAATATGAGGCAAATACACACACACACACACACACAAAATAATGTTGTGTCCCTGATATCTTTGGCTGACCAGATAAAATACCTGGGGTCAGCTGAATGTAACTCTCATGCATAGTGGTAATATCCTACTTTTGGTGACATTGATTGCAAAACCCCACTGACTTCAGCAGAGCCAGATTTTCACCTACGCATTTCTCTGAAATTCCTGGTGGACAAAATGACAGTTATCACAAGTTGTTACCATTGGTGGCAGACTCAGTGAGAGTTTGAAGGCCTCAATTATCCACCTTCTTTTATGTAACTGAGTGAATTTAACAGAATAGCGTGGGAGTAAAAAAGCGCTGCCTCATTTGTATCTGCTGCATTGTTAGATAATTTCAACTTCAGGGCTGCAAATCCGGTATCTTTCCTCAGCACCATATTCTCATACAAAAAAGATATTTTATAATCTGAATTAATTCAGAATATATTGCATAAAGAGACACCATAAATGCTTACAGCACCACATATTTTTCTGTACTGTCACCCTGCTAAGTCTCGACTCTGAATGTTGCAGTAAGCCACTCCTGAGCTTTAATGGCGAGCAAGATACCGTATTTTTATCACAATTATAGCAGAAGGTGGGTGTTCCATATGCTTTTGAGAGTGCATTTTCAAGGAAGTTTTTGGTTGATGTCATATATCATATATATGCTATTGGCTATTTTTGTTTCAAAGAGCACTCGTGGCTCTTTCAGTTCCCTCCCAATGAGTGTTTTTTCACTGCTTTTGAGAAGAGCTCCATCGACTTGCTGCATCAGCAGAAACTGAAAGAATTCTGTTGTGAAAAAAATCTCATTTCCAAGTTCACTGATGCTTACTGAATAAATAGCCACTGAACGTGAAACACCATAAGTTTCTGTCTTGGATCTTGTAGCTTTCGGGTTTGCCTCCAATTTGCAATAAAAACAAGTGCAAAAAAATAGGAGACAGTTGCTGTCATGCAGCTGATGAAATGTAAAGCCAGTGCTAGTTTGTCTTTATGCACTTACTAAATGACGTAGAAGAGAGCTGAAAAGTACCGAAGGCCTTTATCACTCTTTTTTTCATAATTTCCTATCTATACTGTAATGTGGTTCCTCTGCCTGAGGGCACACTCAACCTACCTCATCATCTAGTTTAATTTATTCTTTATTATACCATCAAATTTTAAATTAGAAAATTAAAACAATCTCTATTGGTTTTCAAATCATAGCATGTTTTATTTTGTAAGTGCTTGAAAACTCGTTAAACACAAGTAATCAACTGTCAGGGTTCAGCTCCTTAACAATATTGTTTTCACACTTTTTTTCATCTTGTATTTATTTTGAGTCTTTAAGAGAATTGTGTATTAATTTCCTGTGAATTAAGAGATGCTAAAATATGAACCATCTTGTCTTCTTATGAAAATACACACTTCAGGCGATTCTAATTCATCTTCATAGACACTGTTTTTAGGGCAGGCTGGCTTTTAAATCTTTTCCAGTGCTAATGCCAAGAAGAAAAAGGGAATTTACAGGGCATATTAAAAACTTTTATAACTAATTATTTTAAGTGGTCAATGAACTCTCCTCTTTCTTACTTTTTTAATGAAGAATACTAGTAGCTCAGGTAAAAGAGGAAGTAGATAATATTATTCTGATAACTAAAAAAATATAGTGCTGCTTTAATTACTAAAATAAAAAACTGTTGTGCTTCTTTATTTACTATTACTTTATATTTTAGGTTATTAATAAAGAAATAGATGGTAAAATAACTGGAATCTCAAAACTAGAAGAGGAAGCCGAGTCATTTTCCCAGTTCGTTACCTCTGGAGAATGTGCCCATATTAAAGCAAAACTGACTCAGGTGGAAAGGTATTGGGAAGAGCTAAGAGATCATGCACGGAGACTGGAAGGAACAATCACAGGGAATGCATCAGCACAGCAGAAATATGAAGAAAGTCTTAAAGAGGTAGACAATGCAGCAATTTATAAATTACTCTTTTTTTTTTTCCAAAATTGAATATAAAATTCATATTATAGTAGGATGGACTAGAATATATTATTAGACTTGTGAGGTAATCGCAATGCCTCTATATGTAAATTTGTCTTTTGAATGACTTAAAAGGCGGGTTCAGGAAGACACTAAAATATACACGTGCAAAAAATTATGCTGTCTTTTAGAAAACCTAAGTGATTCTCCTGGCTATTGCACTAATAAACCACATTCATACTTCTTATAAACACTTTAGCTTCAATCTTGGGTTGTTAGTAGGTCATAAGGAAGATAATTTAAGTATTATTATTGCCCCAGTCACAAGGAGCTGAACGCAGTTGGCATCTTTTAATTTCAGAAGGCACTCAGCACTATGTAAGCTTAGGCTATAGTATTCTCTTAGCACTAAATATTTAAAAGATATTATTTAAAGCATCATTTATGTATTTCCTGCTGCTTTTAGACTCTCTGGTTTGCCTTTTCTTCATAGGTGCAACGGGTAGTGTCTGAATTTGAAGCTAAGCTAGCTGAGCCTCTCGCATCATGCTCTTCAGCAGCAGCAACGTACACAGCCCTTCAGGATTGCACGGTGAGCTGACGATCCCTGCCACCGAGTCCAGGGAAACGGTGCCACGCTGACCTTCAGAGAAATGCCAGTAACCTCCAAACCAGGGGCTGCCTGATGCCACACAGCCCAGGGGGGAGGCAGGAGGAGGCAAGGGCTGCCTGTTGGGGTGGGCAGCCCCAGGGAAGGCGTAAGCAGGCTTCCTCAGCTATTTCTTCTCACCATTTCAGACAGGCTTGGAGAGCTTTTTCGCCGCTCCAGATAAAGGAAAGCCTAAAAGTATGAATTAATCCCTCAGGTTCTTGTTTTTAATTTTATGCGTCTAAAACATTATGAAAAATAGAAGATAAAGAACATGTCTGTTAAACATTTTTCCCTAAAGATTTTCATGAAACTTGGGTGTTGGTGTAGAGAACTGTGATTTTAAAAAAATAAATAATAAAACCAATCTCCTTGGAAGTTTTTCTTGGACAATGCAGAGACTGGATGGAGTTTTAACTGATAAACTTTTTATCTGTAATGCCAGAAATCCATGGGCGTTTGGACATTTGATTCAGTCCATTACAAGAGGAAAACAAATATTGGATTGATATTCAAACTACAAAAAATCCCAAATCTCAGCAAATTTGGTGTAGCATTTTTGTCTGTATCTACAAGTGTTCTTCCCACAATAGTCATTGCCTTCCTGTCTAAGAAAATATTGCAAAAACTTTTAGTCATATTTTTCTTGCAGTAAAATACGTATAATTTCTTCTGAACTTAGTGGTAATTACTTGCAAAGGCTGTATGCGAGGAAGACCTGTCCTGTCTGCTACAAAAAAGGTTGATACTTGAGGAAAAATACTTTTCATATGGAGAATTTATTCAGACAGCACATATAATCATTATCGTTATTGGCTTTTAAACATTATGAATATGCTGAGTATGCTATTGTAAACTCTAGTCCAGTCTATGGGATCATGATGTTTCAATGCCTTAATGTGAAATTATTTTTTGTTATTGAATTTAAACATCAACAGCTTCTTGCTGTATAATTCACATTTCCTTCTATGTATGATTTCTTTCATGACTGTAATTATAACCATTACTACTGTTACTATCACACACCTGTGAGTTGGAACCTTAGTGGTCTTAAATCCATTTCATTTTGTGCTTTTCTAACTCACTGCACTATATTTCAGTCATTTTCATATGAAAAGTTTCCCAGCTCTCTAGAAATGGCAACACTGGAAAGTCTAGTCAACATCAGATGCCAGTTCCATGAAAAAGACCTTTGGCTAATGCTGACAGAAGTTCACAGTAACTGTTCCCTACCTCTCTCATGCCATGACACGGGCTGCATGTCTGGCAGTCCTCACACATTGGAGTGAGCTTTTGTATTTCCTGTATATGTATAAATTAGAGCAATTCTTAGACAGATGTTAGGGAATTTGGAGCTTTGCCCTAC